ACATTTTTCTCAGTGTTACAGAAACACACAGAGTTTATCGTCAGAGTTTTTCACTCTCTGATTTTCTAAGGTTTTCTCTGATTTCCTTGAAGAACATAAAGATGAGCAGCATTGCTGCAGACTGACATTCCTTGTTTGCAGCATATAAAAAGCTGAGGTTATCTTTTAGATTTGTGCTGGACTGTGCACAGCATGTTGTCTCATGAAGTAGATCAGCTTCTACTCACATCAGCAAAGCTAATGTTGGGACAGCTGAGGACTGGGAAAATGAACCCTGGTCTGATAAATGAATGAACTTCAAAATAAAATATTAGATTAAGTTTTGAACTGGACAAATTAATGGACACAGTTTTGTTGGCATGCTGTTGTGTAGATGGTTTTCATGATTTGAATACTACAGGATATTTGAATAGGGCATCCTTTTATTTTTTAGAACACCCCTGGGATCATGTAGAAGAATAAATTATGTAACATAGAAGTAATGCAAATATTTTATTTCCCCATAAAAGAAGGATTTTTGAGTCTTTAGGCAGCATGAGAACCAGAGACAGACAATGAAAGCAGGTGTCACTGCAAAAGCATTGGTAACCCTGTTAACACTATTATATCTTTATTCTTGGCACCAATGCATGTAATTATGGATCTGCAGCTCATTTCTATAATTTCACAAGTTTAATATTACATTTAATTTATTTTAATATTAAATATTAAATTCTGATTTTAATGAAGTAATCAAGGCTTACATTACAGCATAATACAGGAGCAAGAAAAGAAGGACGAGACAAGAGCGAGCAGAGTCAACGGGAAAACCATGTAAGTTCTTAAATGTTTACTCCACAATGTTAAAAACCTCTCCTTTCACAGATGGAGTCATTACTGTCAGCTGAATGTCTCACTCATCTAGTTTGTGCTGTAGTGACAGTCTGTGCATTTTGTAGGAAGAACAAACCTGGAAACATTTACTGAACACACTTAAAATATTTTAAAATCTGAAACTGGAGATTTATTTCAAATGTTGTGTCACAGTATACATCACCTGTGTGTCTCAACACGCTGATACAAAGACCATGTCTAGATGGTGTGGTTGACTTAATTTGCATGTTCCTAACATGTTCTAAATATCTCCATGAACAGAGAAGAATTGTGACATACATGCATTAGTCCAGCACACAAAATCTGTTGAAATCTTTATTTTCATTTTCATCTGACAGGGCTAAGATGCACTGGATATTATTTCTGCATATTCTGATGGGTAAGTAGATAATTTTACCAGTGCTGTCGAGTTTGAGTTTGCTCATTGAATGCTTTCTTCTAACAGAACATATATTATGTTTATCATATTTCTGTATTT